CTCGGCCGACCTAAGATATAGAAACGTATGCTGAGCATAATTTTCGGCTGAAAACGAATGGAGACAAACCTAAATAAAATAAATATATCCGTTCGATGATTTGTTTGAAGACGGTGAGAGAAGTGCGAGGAACAAGAGGAGGATATATAAACAAATCATGTACACAGGAACTGTGATGAGCCAGCAGCACCCATAAGGCTGGTAATAGCGTCCAATCACCGTTTACAGTGATTGTTGAAGGTGGACAGTCGTGTCGAAGGTGAAGGAGGACGGTAACACGGATGGTCCAAATGACAAGGTTGTGCTGGATTAATCAAATTTCTTATAGAAAAGATGGTACCAGTAATTGAGATAATACCGAGCAGCTCCAGCATGCAAGAATGGGAAGAAATCATATGATCTGGAAAGGAAACAGAATCTATGGAAATTTTCCCCTGATAATTCTTTTAGCAAAGTCTTTATTTTGTCAGTGTTATTAAATTTCGTTTTACTTCATAAATTGCGAAAATCAAATTTTATACCACTGAAGAAAAATGTGATTTTGCAAGTCGACAGGCGGAGCAGGAGATGAGAAGAGAGAACAAGCGCTATATTAATCCAACCTCACAGTAACCTGACCTCTCACAATTTCTCCTTTGACGGCTTGACGAGTCCTCAAAACCTTCTTCATAGATACTTCATAACTCACTGAGCGCTTCTCCTACACCCTTTTCAGCACCTCACAAGAGCTATTCATACGTCCTCAAGAGCTACTCCGGGCCTCCTTCAGCGGCTGCTTCAGCAGTACTCCAAGCGGAGGTAAGCGGGGCCCTCAGAGACGGACATGAAAGAGTAGAGCCTGGAGGGCCCTTCCCAACTCGACACCTAAGCGACGGGTCGACATTCATGCTCCGCGCGGGATCACATTCTCGCTTGGAATGATTTAAATGGCGTACAGTATTTCCGATTGAGCAGATCCCGACTTTACATTTTCAAACTAATGGAGGTGCTGTATTCAGGGGCCCGTATCATATGTTTGTAACAATACTTGTTGTATAAATCCTGTGAGAGTTAAATGGTGTAATTACTACCTTCGGCGCTTCTGTAATTATAGTTACAGATATGTATACATATGACTGCTGTAAATCAGACAATGTGGCTATTTGTAAAAACAATCTGTTGGAATAATGAGGGGATTCGAACCAGCGAGGATGGTACTTCCAGTGGCGCACCTTACCCCTGAATCAGTAGTAATAGGCATCCATCAGTCTCAGGAGACTATGGAGTTGCGCTCTGGGTGTCGGTCTGGAGTGGCCTCACCAGGGCGCAAAGCCAGGGTAGGTTGATTCGGGGGAGAAGCTGTTACCCAGGCAGCATGTCCCCCCTCTCTCCACGGCGCTGAAAGTCTCCAATGGAAAGGCAAACGCCAATACGATTGGTTCCAGCGCCGTCGCAGGAACTGCAAAGCGTTATACCTGAATCACGACAGGGTATAAGTTATACGAGCTCAGATTCAGCAGAAATCACAGTCTTGTACTAAAACCAGCCCAGGTAGTTCATCTACCCCCCCCCCCCAAGCACTCTGTAAAACTTGAACTGGGTTCAGTAAAAGCCTCCAGACTTCCTGTGAATTCGGTGGAATCCGAGATGGTTTAAGTTATACTATGTTGTGGTACAGGGGTACTGTGCGGGGCTGGGAGTACCATGATCGGTGGTTCCGTGGTTCGAGTCACCTCATTGCCCCAATTGATCTTCTCATTGATGTATCACGTTAGTGTCATTGATGTATCACGTTAGTGTCATTGATGTATCACGTTAGTGTCATTGATGTATCACGTGTCATTGATGTATCTCGTTAGTGTCAATGATGTGTCACGTTAGTGTCATTGATGTATCACGTTAGTGTCATTGATGTATCACGTTAGTGTCATTGATGTATCTCGTTAGTGTCATTGATGTATAACGTTAGTGTCATTGATGTATCACGCTAGTGTCATTGATGTATCACGTTAGTGTCATTGATGTATCACGTTAGTGTCATTGATGTATCACGTTAGTGTCATTGATGTATCACGTTAGTGTCATTGATGTATCACGTTAGTGTCATTGATGTATCACGTTAGTGTCATTGATGTATCACGTTAGTGTCATTGATGTATCGCGTTAGTGTCATTGATGTATTGCGTTAGTGTCATTGATGTATCCCGTTAGTGTCATTGATGTATCCCGTTAGTGTCATTGATGTATCACGTTAGTGTCATTGATGTGTCATGTTGGTGTCATTGATGTATCACGTTAGTGTCATTGATGTGTCACGTTAGTGTCACTGATGTATCACGTTAGTGTCACTGATGTATCACGTGTCATTGATGTATCACGTTAGTGTCATTGATGTATCACGTTAGTGTCATTGATGTATCACGTTAGTGTCATTGATGTATCACGTTAATGTCATTGATGTGTCACGTTAGTGTCACTGATGTATCACGTTAGTGTCACTGATGTATCACGTGTCATTGATGTATCACGTTAGTGTCATTGATGTATCACGTTAGTGTCATTGATGTATCTCGTTAGTGTCATTGATGTATCACGTTAGTGTCACTGATGTATCACGTTAGTGTCATTGATGTATCTCGTTAGTGTCATTGATGTATCACGTTAGTCGCATTACTTTGCGTATATGAGGAGTTTTAAATGCCATGTTTTTTGTATTCTTTCCAATTGTGATTCGCCGATCGTTCATATTTGTTTCAAAGGGGTTTATTAAACTATTTGCCTATACTATTGAATAGAGAGATTTTACATTAATTATTGCATCGTTATTTAATAAATTACAGGAAAAAAACTAGTATTGGGCTCTGGTTTAATTTTGAATAATTGTATAAAATCGTATTCTTGGGCTACCATTTTTTTTATTGATATAAAATAGTGACATGCTCTGGTGTCAAGGTCATGTTAACACCTCAAATGGTGGCGATAGAAAACCGATTTAAAGCCCTTGTTTTCCCCTATGATAATTTGATCTCTGGAGAGCTGTTATTATTTGGTGTTGGTGGCTGTTATTATTTGGTTTAAGGGTAATTGGGGGTCAATATGAAAATTACAGTTACCCATAGTTAAGGGTATCTGTGTTCTATTGCAACATGAATCTGGTTGTTAGGTTGATGGGTTACATTGTCTAGACACTACCAACAACAACAACAATCTCAACTTCCTGTAGCAACAAATACATATCTTAACAAACACATTGAGAGCTTTGATGAATACGCAATTGTGTTTGCTAATATTTTGTGGCTCGCACAATAATATTCGGAAGTCTTCCGGTGGTAAAATAAAAGTAGATTAATTATTCTTGGGCTTATTTTCGTCAGAAAACTCTGGCCATTAATCAGGGCCTCATAACAATCTTTGGGTTTAATTAAAATTCTGATCCGCTTGAAAGAATATGAGATAATGGCGCTTTATTCAAGCATTTCAGCTAATCTGTTGCAGGAAATTTTTAATGAGTGTAATTTCCCTCAAATTAAATCACAGATGTTGTCCCAATTAACAGTGGCATTTTTGTTTTAGCTCGTTACTGTAATGGAGTCGGCTATTAGGAATGCACGAGAAGAACATTAATATTCCACCAGGCTCCTCACTTCTGCCTTCTGACTTCTCCAACTACCTGTGTATAGGATGTGAAACATAATAACACACACACGCACACATTATATATATGTATATATATATATATATATATATATATATATATATATATATATATATATATATATATATATATATATATATATATATATATATAATATAATATATATAATAAACATAATATATATATATATTAAGAGAGAACGAGAGCGAGAGAGAGAGAGAGAGAGAGAGAGAGAGAGAGAGAGAGAGAGAGAGAGAGAGAGAGAGAGAGAGAGAGGATAGCCGGATGTTGCTCAGTTCTCATCAAGCACCAGGCGCTCGTCCTTCATCCTAGCAGAATAAATGATTATCCTGATAGGGAAACTTCTTCTGCCTCGTCCGGCACAACACCATCCCCCCCCCCCAACCTTCCTTACCCCGCCTCCCTAACCCTGCCATGTCATCCCAATTAACCTCGTCCCACCTCACGCACACTGCCCCTCCCTATACCTACTTTACGTTGTTGCTGTTGTTAAAGATTTAGTTACTCAGGACGAAGTGTCCATGTAGCACGGGCTATGGTGAGCCCGTACCACGTTTGTCTACGTAGCAACTCTCTATAATAGCCTCCTCCACCATCATTATCTCCGCCCCGCCTCCATCACCCCAGGAACCACCACCGAGCACCGTATATCAACCTTCCCTAACGTCAGCATCCTGCAACACCTCCAACATCCTATCTAACTCTTCTCACCCTCCCCCAATACCCATTCCACAGCCCTCCAACTGCCCTGTCCCTACAAACCTTCCCCACCCTTGCACAACTCAGCTTATCCATCTCCCAGCATCCTTCCTTCTCCTTTAGTACCCATCTGTCTATGCTGCCCTCGAAGTCTCCCTGAAGCAGCATGCACAATGGATTAAAACGGTGTGCTTAATATTTGAAGCCCACTAAGCTTTCTTATGAAAATAATAAAGTTAAGGACTACTGTTTCCAGTGTGGAGGTGGGGGAAACGATTCACCTGACGTGTCCTATGTTCTAGCGGCTTGGACTTCCACGAACTTAAAATGGTACCGATTGTGGGTGTCAAGGGAAGGGAAGGTGGATGGGTTAACTGAGGGAAAACAATGAAAAAGTGAGAGAGAAAAAGTTGAGTGTGAATCTATTGTTTGTCGGTGTGAATGAGTGAGGAATGTTTGATAAAGAAGTGAGTGAGGAATGCTCGATAAAGAGACAAAGAGAAAGCGAGGGGCTGACATAACGGTTACGAATACAAAAGCAAAGATAAAAGACCGGACAAAAGGATGAAAACGCGCATCTGTGAATGCTATGAGAATTCCACTTGACTAAACTTAAATGACCTAATGTTTCTTTTGTTTTTTTCAGGGTTTAACACCAGGCGCACGAGGCATGAGTAGACATGAGTGTCATTCATGGATGAATACTCTGATGAACAATATCTTGAAAATGATTCAGTGAGTGTTTTCTTCACTAGTAAAAAGAAACGTTCATACTCAATAAAATTGCTTATGTTAAACAAGAACATGTGCATTAAAATATAAACAGAAAATATATATATATAAGTATTTATAAATATATGTAAATCTATATATATACACATATTGGAGAAAGTGAGTGCATCCCAGAACAAAATAGAAAAATGTCTATCTTAGGTATTCCGTGTTGTGTACCAAGCTGAGAACGGCAGCGCTGACGTCACGTGGATACGTTCTTTGAATGAATCGCAAGCCCCAGTGAGCGGACGAGGGGACTCCCAGGACGAAAGATGCCCGCGCTCTCTCAGCTCACCACCAAGTTCTTCGTACTGATCGTCCTCCTGGCTGTCTCCCTTCCTGGTGAGTACAGCATATGGGGTGGGGGCAGGTTGTCATCTTTCTGATCACTAATTCTTCCTAATATGTACAATGTAGGGAGGAGAGGAAGTTGGGAGTTATATTTAAGTAGTTAAATGTGGATGGATGCTACCGTAGAGTTTTTTGCCATTTGAATTCTGCTTCTTTGCAATTACTTTATTCACTCTCGTATTCTTGAAGATATCCTCACAGTATACCCAAAATTTGCCAGTGCAGGCTATTAAGCACATGGCTCTGTATGACTAACCATCCTGCGAGATGGGGACTTGTATTACCACTGCTGCCTTATTCAATCTTGTGTTGTTGATATCCTCAAAATGCATCCGGAGTCTGCCAGTGCAGACTGCCTATCACATGCCTCTGTATGACTAACCATCCTGTGTGATGGGGATTTCTTAGCATCACCTAGTTAGCTTTTTTGACACACTGTACTCCACTTCATATAGTCTAGGGTAGCTGCACTAATGCAGATGTACCTAATATGTTAATAAAAAAAAAAAGCCTTTTTGCTAGTAAGCTTTTTTGACACTGTACTCCACTTCATATAGTCTAGGGTAGCTGCACTAATGCAGATGTACCTCATATCTTAATAAAAAAAAAGCCTTTTTGATCCATTGTTGAAAAAGTTAAGAGACAGTAGAGCTGGCTGCCACATAGGCAGTAATAAGGATATTGTTCTTTTCATGAAATGATCTAGTTATGTTAGCATAAATTAATGACTATAGCAACATTGATAGAAATGTGTGACAAAAATATTGCTGAGTACAACCTCATGCTCATTCTTGGTAAATCTGTTGAAGTAACTTTAAGCTCACCGGATTCATTTTGTCTAGAAGAACATTAGTTGGTCTAGATTCCATTAAAATAAACTGGGCCATATTATTTCCTCAAAAGGCCCGCTTATATTTTTTAATATAAGACAAGATATATTCCTATATATTAAAATAATATGAAAAACTACTACGAACAGGTGGAAGGATAGGAAACACTCCTCTACAATGTATAGAAAATAAACAGGAAGAGAAAAATGGACCACCAAGGAAGAATGAACTTTTTAACGGAACAAATGCGCGGATTCAATGTAGGAAAATTCTACTGGACCAACTTACTAGATTTCTGCATTAGAACAACGGATGTCAGAGAAGAAAGGGGAAGGATGGGCAGATTTAATGTGATTAGATGTCGAGAAAGCGTTAGATTCACTTTAAGCCGAAATATCTGGCTTAGTACTAAACTAAAAAGGACAGTACGTAGGACTTTCGTCCTGGACCATTCTCAAGTCGATTCACAATCGACTTGAGAATGGTCCAGGACGGACCGAAACGTCGTCGTCCCTTCACATTCTAGTGTGTGGTCTGGTCATCAAAGTACGTAGGAGACAGGAGACAATTGGGGTAACTACAAGACGTGGAAAAAATCTGAAATCGTTACCATAAGCCCCATACAACTTTTAATATAAGCAAATGGCCTGGTATGAGAAAAAAAATTCCCTTATGTCACTGTTAACCTCTTAAGGCACGGCAGAAGAAGATATTTCTTACGGCGAATATTACAGAATGCTCCGGGCAGTGTAAGAGTGTAGACACTGCCGGTCTAATGGAATGGAATTCAACCCAAAAGCACTCGACTGAAGCTTTGATGCTCATACGATGTAGGTAAAAATCCATGTTTACACTCGCTGAACATTTTAGGTTCTTCACCAGACTCTCCAACGGAAAAAAAATAATTGTTTCCAAAAGTCAAGAGCCAGACAAAAGTGAAGTTTTTAAATGTCTTCGGATACTGATCATCAAAGGAAGATGAGTCGAGGTATAATTGGCTTCAGATGGAGGAAATTAAGGAACCAGTTTTATGTCTGACCTTTTTGGCAGTTCTGGAGTTACAGGAGCAGGTTTAATAGGATCAGAAAATCTTTGTGAGCATTCTAAACTAACAACTTATATCTAGCAGAGTTTCTTGGACCGAGATTCAACGTTTTCAGGTGTTGGTCTTCTATAGATGTAGATTTTTGTAATTTTCTTGTTCAATCATTTTTTTAATGAGGGTAGATAGAGTCCCTACGTTATCCATTCATGTGTCTGTATTGTCTGGAGTTTGTATTTATCAATATATATGTAGTTGAAATTTTACTTCCACTGTGTTAACACAAGTATCGCCTCCCGTTATAAGATTGATCACAACTTTATGTATTGTTCAGCAACAAGAGCCCCACACACACAACCACACAAGAGCCCCACACACACAACCACACAAGAGCCCCACACACACAACCACACAAGAGCCCCACACACACAACCACACAAGAGCCCCACACACACAACCACACAAGAGCCCCACACACACAACCACACAAGAGCCCCACACACACAACCACACAAGAGCCCCACACACACAACCACACAAGAGCCCCACACACACAACCACACAAGAGCCCCACACACACAGCCACACAAGAGCCCCACACACACAGCCAAACAAGAGCCCCACAGCCACAGCCACACAAGAGCCCCACAGCCACACAAGAGCCCCACACACGCACTGCCACACAAGAGCCCACAGCCACACAAGAGCCCCACACACACAGCCACACAAGAGCCCCACAGCCACAGCCACACAAGAGCCCCACAGCCACACAAGAGCCCCACACACGCACTGCCACACAAGAGCCCACAGCCACACAAGAGCCCCACTCACACAGCCACACAAGAGCCCCACAGCCACAGCCACACAAGAGCCCCACACACGCACTGCCACACAAGAGCCCACAGCCACACAAGAGCCCCACAGCCACACAAGAGCCCCACACACGCACTGCCACACAAGAGCCCACAGCCACACAAGAGTCCCACACCCACAGCCACACAAGAGCCCCACAGCCACACAAGAGCCCCACACACGCACTGCCACACAAGAGCCCCACACACGCACAGCCACACAAGAGCCCCACACCCACAGCCACACAAGAGCCCCACAGCCACACAAGAGCCCCACACACGCACTGCCACACAAGAGCCCCACACACACACAGCCACACAAGAGCCCCACACCCACAGCCACACAAGAGCCCCACAGCCACACAAGAGCCCCACACACGCACTGCCACACAAGAGCCCACAGCCACACAAGAGCCCCACACACACAGCCACACAAGAGCCCCACACACACAGCCACACAAGAGCCCCACACACACAGCCACACAAGAGCCCCACAGCCACACAAGAGCCCCGAACTTGAGGCTTCCCCAGCGAAACATACAGTGACACAAGGAAGACAAAACGTCCCTAATGGGAGAGAGGCCGGAGAGGGAACGAGGCCGCCAAGTGCCACCAGGTGCCACACTGAACTGAGTTTACAGACAGTTTCCAGTAGTTGAACCTCGCCAACGGCCTTCGCACATCCGGCTAACGAAGCTGAGGCCGGCCGCGTTAGGATTATTGCCGCTGTTAATTATGTCAGGGAGACGTAATTGCTTGCGTTGTGTGAACGATGGTTGGTGTATGTCCACGAGAGAGAGAGAGAGAGAGAGAGAGAGAGAGAGAGAGAGAGAGAGAGAGAGAGAGAGAGAGAGAGAGAGAGAGAGAGAGAGAGAGAGAGAGAGAGAGAGAGAGAGAGAGAGGTTCGTAACTTTTTCGTGGGGGTATAGACCACGTTACTGAGCCGGGAAACTGTAGGACAAAGCTTAGTAACACTTGCATAGTGTTACAGGTGTTAGAGAGTTGCCAGACAAGGAACTGGAGTGTTCAACACCTTGTGAAAGATACAATTCAAGAGTATAAAGTGTTACCAAAGAAAAACTGAAAAAAAATCCTCAAATGCTTATCTAATTTAACCATATTTTTAGTTTACATAAACTCGACTTTAAAGAACTTTAAAGGAATGAGATTATTTTGCTCATAAAAGTTTTCACCAATAAATAATTGAATTGGATCGGCGGCAGAATTAAATTAATTTGTTGCTAAACTCTTTCTAGAATATGTGCAAGCCGTGAGGTTGCATGCAACTTGCGATATTCTTGCAACAGAGGCCACTCCGAGGCGCGTTCTTGCCTTATTAAAAATATGTATTACAAACACACACACACACACACACACCGAGTTAAGTCGAGCCAGACACCTCAGTATATAATACTACCCACAACTCCGTCTTTCTCTTATCAGTTATGTCTCACCATTAACAAATTTCTCTTGAGAACCCTCTTTTAACATACAAAATCCCCCACAACACTCCCTTCATCTTGTCAGCCCACCCTTCCCTTCCGTTCCTTCAACACTCACAAATTCACTGCTTCCCATCATGACCCAAAAAAAACTAAATAAAAATTACTTAAAAATACTTTGCACAAGTGAGAGTTGAAATTATTCATGTATGCAAATTGCCATATTTAATTTATTTCCGCTGAATGAACTCCTATCCCACTGGCAGCCAAGACAAAGCAGCCAAAATGTGAATCCACCACTTTCTTAATTCCGGAGCGTAGGTATCCCTCCCCCACAGTGCCCCAGTAAGGCGCTTACTCCTGCTGCAGGGGCCAGGGCAGCACTGAACGGCCTCTCACTGTTCCTGTTGCTGCTTTCATTTTGACCCTGTTGGTTTCTGTTTCTCATCTGTTGGTTTCTATTTCTCACTTGTTGGTTTCTGCTTATCACCTTTTGGTTTCTGTTTCTCACTTGTTGCTTATCACTTGTTGGTTACTGTTCCTCGTCTGCTAATTACTGTTTTTCACCTGTTAATTACTGTTTCACAGCTGTTGGTTTCTTGCGGTTTCTCAATTTTTCATTACTGTTTCAAAAGTAATTCATCGATTAATACATTAATCGATGAACTACTATTATTAATTGATCATGCTATTATCATTAATCTTGTTTCTTTCTGCTTCCGTAATCCCTATTAGTCAAATTTTGTTTAAAAAAAATTGCAAATTTCATTATTATCTTTCATAAATTTTTTGTATACATTTTTTTATTACTATTTTTCCCCAATTT